TACTTACTTCTTTACCGTCACAGCCCTATAAAATATAAGTATATACTATAAGTATATATAAAAGTATACAATAAAAATATACACTGCACAGTATGCTAGTATTCTATTCCAAACATATTAGTTAATTTAGCATACTAACATATGACTCTTACTATATCTGAAATAGAAAGTGAAGTTTAGTAGTATGCTAAGTTTTTGAAAATTACTTAGCATTCTGCAGTCTTCAGTATATACTGCACAGTATGCCAATATTCTATTTCAATTTAATTGTTTTTGGAAAATACTAAGCAGTTTATATTAAATAGCAGGCAGAATGGTGGTATTCCATTACGAACATATTAGTTGAATTTGGAATAGCATGCTACCATACGACATAATATTTTTGTCATATAAAATTATAAATAGTATAGTAGTATGAGTAGTATAGTAGTATGCGAAAAATAGTAGTCCATCCCGATCATATTGGCTAAATTCGGAATTGCATACAGTATAGTATTGCTATTTCTGCCATATTATATAGGAGAAAGAGTAAGAGCGGTATAATAAATAGTGTAAAATATTAGGCAGTCAACAGTATAAACTGCCCAGTATGCTAGTATTACATTAAAAAAATAGTATGCTGTGTACAGTATCTACTGCCCAGAATGCTAGTATTCAGTTCTGAACATATTGGTTGAATTCAGAATAACATACTAGCATACAAGTCTTACAATTTCTGATTTATAAAGATACGGAAGAAATAGTAAGCATAGTATGGTAGTATGCTATTTCAAATTTAGACATTATTTTGGGGAAAATAGTAGACAGTGTACAGTATGGTACAGCAAGCAGAATGGTAGTACTCAATTACGAATATGTCATTTTTTAAAATTAGTAGTCAGTCTACACTATATAATGCACCGTATGCTAATATTCCATTCCGAATATATTGGTTGTATTCAGAATAGCTTACTAGCATAAGACTCTTACTTTTTCTCCCACATAAATATGTTATGCTATTTTAAATTTAGACATTGTTTGTTTTGGAAAATAGTATGCTTTATACATTATATAGCAAGCAACACGCTAGTATTCCATTACAAACATATTGTTTTAGGATGGAAAATAGTAGGCAGTGTACAGTATATACTGCGCAGTAAGCTAATATGCCAATCCAAACATACTGGCTGAATTCAGGATAGCATACTAACTAACATACTGCTCCTTACTATTTCTTACTACTACTCTTCCATATAATGATATAGTAGAAATGGTAAGAATAGTATGAATGATAATATGATATTTTGAATTTAGACATTGATTTTTGTAAAATACTGTGCTGTGTACAGTATATACTGCCCGGTATGCTAGTATTCCATTCTGAACATTGGTTGAATTCACAATGGCATACTAGCATACGACTTGCTATTTCTGCTTTATAAATATATGGGAGAAATAGTAAGAGTAGTATGGCAGTATGCAATTTAGAATTTAGACATTATTTTTGTAAAATACTAGGGAGTGTACAGTATATACTGTGCACTATGCTGATATTCTATTTAGAACATATTGGTTGTCTGGCATACTAGCATACTACTTTTACTATTTCTGCCATATGAATGTGTATTTTTAATGGACGTTCAAATTTAGACATTGTTAGCCATTGTTATTTTGGAAAATAGCACGTTAGTAGTCATATTGTTTTAGGAAGGCTAATATTAGGCAGTGTACAGTACATACTGCGTAGTATGCTAATATTCCATTCAGATCTATATGTTTTTGGAAAATAATAGGCAGTGTAAATTATATAGCGAGCAGAATGGTAGTATTCCATTCTAAACATGTCATTTTAGGAAAATACTAGGCAGCGTACTGTATATATCATTACGACCAAGTATTTTTTTTTGTATTTTGGAAAATAGTAGGCAGGGAACAGTATATACTGCGCAGTGTACTTGTATTCCATTCTAAATTTAGGTAATGTTTAACAATTTCTGTACTCATGCATTCATTCTTCTTTGTTTTCTCTCTTGACGTTTTAGAGCATTGATTCAGACCATGTTGGAGCGCTGTGACCGGTTTCTGTGGTCTCAGCAAGCGTAAGACCTCTATGTCCACATGATCTCCACATATGCCTCCAGGACCCAGCGCTGCTCTTAGTATGGACACACTACGGCCTGCCTTCTGTAGTTTGGGTCATGTTTCTATAAAACAGCTGCTCTGGGATCAGCTGCCTTGCTGAAGATAATGTGGCAGATCAGCTGATTTCAGATTGTGATGCATTCCAGTCAATCTAATGCAGATTCCAATTCATCGTTTTTTTCTTCGCACCAGCACTATGACTATATTGTGCCGTAAATGGTGAAAGCACTGCGTGGGAATCACATGACTTGGTCTAAACTGTTCTTCAGTATTTTGTCTCCTGTTTCCTATTTAGCTATTTAATAAGGTGCTGACACAGTATTAACAATGGGCTTTTTTACGTCATTTATAAATCCATTTGCACGTAAATTATCCTATTGAATTGAATTCAACAATTTATGTATGAATGCTTTGATCTACACTTCCATGTTTATTAATGAGGCCCAATGTGTTTTCATGTGGTTTTAGGACTATGTATAATATACAGTATATCCCTTTAAAAAAAAAAAACATACATACATAGAGTATATATTAGTGCATCCAAAATAAAAGTTTTTGATTACATAAGATATGTGTGTGTATTGTGTATATTTATTATGTATATATAAATACATAAACATACAGCATATATTTTGAAAATATTTACATGTATATATTTATATTCATATATTCAAATATATTTAATATATAAACGTAACATATTTTTCTTAAATATATACATGCATGTGTGTGTATTTAATATATACATAATAGATATACACAGCACACACATATTATGTAAACAAAAACTTTTATTTTGGATGCGATTAATCGTTTAATAGCCTTAATGAAATTTTAATCTCCAGGTATTTGAGAACCTTGTCAAACAAGGGAAAACTAACAAAGCTGTGTTCTTTTAACAGAGATGACTATAAATAATTGTGAATGTATGAATTAAAAGAGTTTTTGTAACTAATGCCATGTGGCTCAGCTGGTTTAACAGGCTGCTCTTCATGAAAAGCACAATAAATATGAGTATCATGTTCATTTATAATTGTGTCGAAAGTGTTGTTCCTTTGAACGCATGCCTGAGAGAATCTCTCTTCATTGCTCTTCATGCAAACTAACATAATATGAATGCATGGAAAGAGTATTAGCAATGAATTTGTGAGGATTTTATTAAGCTCATTATTTTTGCACTGACACTAGATTTGGATTGTAAATGGACATGCTGTGCTACACAAACACATTTACATCTTGTGCCAGCTTAACACTGGTTTCCTGTGTAGGTCCGTGAGGCACGTGCTCCCGTCAGACGTGTGAAGATATTCGCACTCGTCCCGAGTGCTGCATCAAACCCACCGAGAACAACAGCCTTTTAAAGTCATCGTCCTGGAATCCCCGAAGTTCTCCTCACTTTCCAATTTCTCTTATCAGACTTTCAGAACTGTCTGTTTTTCTCTGTTGCTCCACTGACCTCTTTTCCAGGTGTGTCTTCTATCAGATCGTCCCTGTGCCAGCAGAAGTGTCATCCGCAGGTGGGCAGAAAAAGGCGGATTACGGGAAACATTGACAATAAACTCCTAACACTAAATGTTAAAAGAAACAGTTCACCTAAAAATGAAAATTTGCTTAAAATTTATTCACCCTGAGGCCACTTGAGATGAGTTTGTTTCTTTATCAGAAATGATTTGGAAAAATGCATTGTATCTCTTGCTCACCAATGGATGTGAATGGGTGCCGTCAGGATGAGAGTCCAAACATCTGATAAAAACATCACAGTAATCCACACCACTCCAGTCCAGCAGTTAATGTCTTGAGAAATTAAAAACTGCATGTTTGTAGGAAACAAATCCATCAAGGCATTTTAATTTTAAACAGTCGCTTCCAGCTAAAATACAAGTCCATAATACATAATATTGCTTCTTCCAGTGAAAAAGTAATCTTGTCTGAATCAGGAGAGAAATATGCATGGATCAAGAACCATTTACAAGCCGAAACAGTCCTAAATTAATATGTGGGTGGATTTTGTTGTGAGAGGACAACGATGAACTTTTACACTGAAGGAAGTGTTATTATGTATTATGGACTTCTATTTTGGCCAGAAGCAATGGTTTAATGTGGAGTGCATACATTTTCAGCAAATTTTCATTTTTGGGTGAACTATTCCTATAAGGTTCAGTATGTGTCATCCTACAGCATTTGTGCTCCAGACGTGAATGTTTCCTCAAATAATTTTTTGAGTTTTCTTGCGAAAAGCTGTGCTGTTACTTTACTTAGACCATAATAAGATCATAAAACTGGGCGAAAAACTCCCACAGAATTTCAAGGATGAACCCAAGCTATATCTTGAAACCACCCAAAACACCCTAGACCCTCTAGAGCACCTTAGCAACCACTGCTCACATTTTGTTCAGAAGGCAGTGACTCTCTATGACTTACACGAGGAGTGATTGTGTCGTTAACCCCATTAGATAGAGGATGATGTGTTTGGATCGAGAGGTAATTAGGGCGGGATAGTCACTCCGTGTGTGTTCGGGATTGTTTGATGTTGAATTGTTGTCACCAGTCACACAGATAACAGAATTCTGCACATACCTGCAGACCAAAGCCAGCATATAAAACTCAGTCCCCGAATTAAACCTTCTCATACGCATAATTACAGAGAATTGTACAGTCACACACCATATAATAGTTCAGATGGTGATGTATTAGTACTTATATATTTAAACACTTAACTGAACATATTTATTTTCTCTATTCATTGTTATTTTTTTGCAATATTTTTGTACATTAATGTGCACAAGCCTACATATACTTTTCATCTGAAGCAAGAACAAAATGTTACATATTTTACAAGAACAAGAGTGAGAATACAAGACCGTACAGATGGATACGACATGGTTGGTAAGTGCAACAAAAAGTACACACACACACATATATATATTCTTGCATTTAAAAAAGAAATTGTACAGTATATTATTATGTATATTATTCTCATTGCAGGAATCTTTCTCATGCTTGATTCTATCTATACTTGTGATATTGTGTCTGCCGCTGTCAGCCACATCTCATTTTCCTTCCCAGAATACAACAGGTACTGAAGTATACTTTATAGATCCAATTAGTATTGTTCTGGGTAGGGGGGAAAAAATAAATTAGTAGCTTCTTGCTTTCTATACAGTACAACTGTCAGTTACATATAAAGTTCACAGTAAGACATTTGAATTCCATTATTGCATTTTTGTCAACTCTGATATCAAAACTGAATGGCAGGTTTTGAATTGAAATATTTTATGGTGTTTTTCAGTGTATTTGGGATCTAGTTTTATCCAGGAAGCTTTACGCAGAGCCAGAGAGCTGACAGACGCCGCGTACGCTCACACCAATGACAGGTGAGACTTTAGCCAAAGTCAAAGCTCATTTGATTTAAGTATCAACCAATCAAGCCAATAAAGGAAATTGAGACAAAAATAGTCCCAAATGAGTCAATAGTTGTCATACAATAAGATTACAGAAGTATAAAATGATTTATTTTCTATCTTATGTTTTGTGTCTGCTCTCTCATTTCTATCAGGGTGAAGACGTCCGTATCAGACGGTTCTGTCCGACCCAGTGATCTGCTGGCCTTGTTCAAACAAACCGGCCCCAAAACCAGAACCCACGTCAGATCTGCTGAGTTTCTGGATAATACGGTAGAGCTGATTAGAGAGATGGTTTACACACACTCCATGGACATACCCGACCTCACCGGTACACACACACACACACACAGACATTTGGGCCATTTACAAGTACATGATTTTGAAGTCGTATCAACATCTGATGTGTGCCTTTCAGAGCTTTTAAGTGCAGAAGACATGGAGACCATACTGCAGGTTACAGGCTGTTCCTCAGAGACACTGAGACCCGTGTGTAAATCTGACTGTCTGTCCAAACGTTACCGTACCATCACAGGACACTGCAACAACAGGTGCACTCGATAACAAAATATATCATTGTTCATTCAGTTTCTGTTCTCAGAAAGCATCATATTTCCTTTTATCAGTGCTGTTTTTGACTTTGCAGAGGAAACCCTCAATGGGGGGCAGCAAACACCCCTTACACCCGCTGGCTGTCGCCGGAGTATGAGGACCCTCGAGGGGCCCCCAGGGGCTGGAACCCACAACACACCTACCACAACCACACACTACCATCTGTAAGACTGACTGATGTAATCATAGTTGTTGTTTTGGCTTTTATATAAATGTTATTGATTTTCTTCTTCAATTTGAAATTTTGTGTGCTTTATTAGCCTGAAAAATACATTTACATTCATATTGTTAAAGTGTTTACATATAATGAGATATTGTGCATAATAATACATACTATATACAATGGTGCCAAATTGGTTAAATAAATAAAACAACATTTCAAATGACATTATTATTATTATTATTATAAAAATTATTAAAATATAAACAAAATTATTAAAATAATATAATTAATTATTATAAAAATTTAGTAAAATCATTTAATAAAATAATATTAAAGAATAAATGAATCCTAGCGCAACAATAAACACAAATTTTACTCTTTTAATTTAATTTGAATTATAATCGATAAACTATAATCGATTATGGCCTATTACTGCATCAATGCAGAATCGACCACGTCCGCAGCATCACGATATACCATAGACACGATTAATTTCAACACCCCTAGTAGTTTATTACATAAAAATTCACTTTTTATATTTTAATATTCTAAAGAACCTTCTGTGAACCTGAACCTTTTGTGAAATGGAAAGATTCCATGTTAAAGGTTCTTCATTGAACCATCAATGCAAATAATAATAAAAAAAACTAAAGATGAAATAAGACCAAATAAGTCTTCCAGATTCAATCAGATATTATTGTCTCTGTGCAGGTCCGCAGCGTGTCGCAGGAGGTTCTGTACACTCATAACGAGAACATCTCTCTGGACATGTCTCTGTCTCATCTGCTGGTGGAGTGGGGTCAGTGGATCGATCATGACCTGACCTTGACCCCTCAGAGCCCTAGCACAGCGGCCTTTAAGACCGGAGCGGACTGCACACGCACCTGCAGCAGAGACACGCCGTGTTTTCCAATACAGGTGCGTATTACACCCTGATAACTAGGACTGCCCCCTAATAATCGACTAACCGTTAGTCGACGAGAAGATGCTTGGTCGACCAAAATTTCATTAGTCGCAGAAATTTTTTTTAACAAAATCCACAGGCGAAGTCACGCAGTCCGTGACGGACAGATTGTTAACGGCTGGTCTATGTGGTAATACAGTAGGCTACATCGGGCAGGACATCCAAATGCTCGCCTATCATTCATCGACCTCAAATATGGATTATCATCTGAAATATGTAAGTATTAGAAACTTTACTTGGCCACTCAATCTATTTGTTAACTTAGAGAAATGTCCGTTGTTCAAGTGTCTGTGTGGAGTGTAAAGCTGAATAGTAGCGCTCACTGCAGGACAGATGGAGGCTCCGGTGCGCTCACTTGCTCTTAAAATACTCAGTCAGTTTTGCTCATTCAGATAAGAGTAATACATCTTTCAAATCTGTAAAGACTCTACGTTTATTTGTGTGCTCTCAAAATTTTGTAAAATAATGAAAGCAAACATGACGCACTTTCTGCCATCTCGGTCTATGTGAATTTAGGCATTTATATAGCGCTTTATTGTGTATTGCTGTGCACCCAAAGCGCTTTACAATCATATGAGGGGTCTCTCCTCAACCACCACTAGTGTGCAGCATCCACCTGGATGATGTGACTGCAGCCACAGGACAATGGCGCCAGTGCACTCACCACACACCAGCTACAGGTGGAGAGGAGAGAGAATCATAGAGCCAATCAAGTGGATGGGGATTATTAGGAGGCCATGATTGACAAGTGGAGGGAATTTGGCCAGGACACTGGAGTTACACCCCTACTCTTTAGGGGAAGTGCCATGGGATTTTTAATGACCACAGAGAGTCAGGACCTTGGTTTAACATCTCAGTTATAGTGTCCCCATCACTATACTGGGGCATTAGGACCCACAGAGACCACAGGGTGAGCACCCCCTGTTGGTCTCACTAACATCTCTTCCAACAGCAACCTAGTTTTCCCAGTAGGTCTCCCATCCAGTTACTGACCAGGCTCAACCCTGCTTAGCTTCAGTGGGCAACCAGTCTTGGGCTGCAGGGTGATATGGCTGTGGCTTGAAAATGTGAGCGCGAAACTCCGTGTATACTTGCCTTACAGACATGAAAAATAGATAAATAATAATAGAGTGAAATGTCTACTTTGAAATGAACCAATTCAAATTGAAAACAAATATTCTCAAATTATGTAATCTGTATTAAACATGCATACAGGCTCGTCCACTACTGTGGAGATGACGAATCGGTGTTGCAGACTTCATCTCTTAAGCCAAAAACAATGAAAACGCTAGTTTATCAATAAATTATTAAAATGTTAATGCAGCCTCCTTACTGTTTTTTCCGACACATTCGTAATCATTACTTCTGCCGGTGTGCTGTGCCAAGCTTTATGCCTGTGCTTGAGCGCTTATTAGGCTATGTAGGAAATCGCTCCGGTTGCTCACGTAACCTTGGTTCCCTGAGATAAGGGAACGAGCGTTGCATCGTCATTTGATGACTGCTTGGGGGGAACTCCTGTTTACTCTATTACTGAAGCCTGATTGGTTAACGTTTGTGTAGCTGCACAAACCAATGGCGCTCGAGCCCACCAGAAGAGGCGGAGCCGACTGCTATATAAGTCGGCTCGGAGCGCCATCTCATCAGAATCATACGACTGAAGCGACAGCCATCGATTCACGTTCAGCTATAGCATGGCCAGTTACGCAACGCTCGTTCCCTTATCTCAGGGAACCAAGGTTACGGGAGTAAACGGAGCGTTCCCTATCGAAAGGTAATTCCTGTTGCATCATTGTTTGACGACTGCTCGGGGAGTGTATCCAGTAGCGCCATGCTATAAGCAGATGCAGAACTTAGCCTGCTCCGCGAGCTCAGCCCAGGAACACTCAGCGAGGGGGCCATAAGCCTGAGCCACAAAGAGACCCGAGAACGTTCTGAGGTCTACTTGAGATAACTCTCAAGAAAAAAGTAAGCATTAGGCGGATAATACGGGCAGGGACCGGGACGTCCAAATTGTAGAATCTTATAAAGGTAGACGGCGACGACCAGCTGGTGGACGCATAAATCTCCCCAATAGAGATTCTACTGGACCAGGCCCAAGAGGAGGCCATTCCTCTGGTGGAATGGGCCCTCACACCTAAAGGACATTGCAAGCCAGCTAAGGCATAAGCCAGAGCTATAGCATCTACTATCAAATGAGGTAGTCTTTGCTTTGTGACAGGCAGCCCTTTAGAGCGACCTCCAAAGCACACAAAAAGCTGCTCTGATTGTATGAAAGGCTCTGAGTGCTTAATGTAAACTCACAGTGCCCAGACAGGGCATAACAAGTTGGGACCTTGTTCGCCATCCGTTCCAGTGAAGAACGACTTTACAGTCATTGGGTCCAAACTCAAGACAGGAAGCACTGACAGACAGGGCTTGCAAGTCCCGTACTCGCTTGATTGATGCCAGGACCTAAAGCAGAGAGGTTTTGAGTGTCATGATTCTTAAGCCGGCTGTTTGAAGCGGCTCAAAGGGGGAGCTCTTGAGAGCTGTCAGGACTATAGACAAGTCCCATACTGGCACCGTCCTAGGGCAAGGAGGGTTTAAGAAACTATTCTAAGAAACTTAACGATCAAGTCGTTCCTGCCAATTGTCCAGCAGGTCTCGAGAGAATGATTCGCCGCGATGGCCGCCACATAGACTTTGAGCGTGGAAGGGGTCTCTTATCCAGCAGCTCCTGCAAAAAGGTTAGCACGTGGGACACGTCACATGATACCGGATCCTGGTTCCGTGCTGAACGCCAGTCACTGAAGACTGACTACTTGAGGGCATAGAGGCACCTTGCAGATGGAGCTCTAGCCTCTAAAATGGTATTAGTGACTCTCGCTGGGAGTTGGCTGGACTCCCGTCGAGTGGCCAGACATGAAGGTTCCACAGTTCCGGCTGGGGATGCCAAATCCTGCCCTCTCCTCAGGTCTCTCCTCAGTGGTATTGACCACGGCGCTGCAGATAGCAGCTGGATCATCTCCGGAAACCAGACTTGGTTCCTCCATACGTAAACAACGTATGCAACGTATGTACGCGGATACATTGTTACGTTCAGATCAAAGCGTAAACAATGTATCCACGTACATACGTTGCATACGTTGTTTACGTATGTGATACTCTCCAAAATGGCGCTATAGGGTGACGCAGAGGAGATGAATTGTTGAATTAAGTCATTATTTTTGTTTTCTTTGCGCATAAAAAATATTCTCATAGCTTTGTAAAATTACGGTTGAACCCCTGATGTCACAAGGATTATTTTAACGATGTCCTTGCTACGTCTCTGAGCCTTGATCATGTAAGGATCCTTGCTGTCTATGGGAGGGTCAGAGAGCTCTCGGATTTTATCAAAAATATCTTAATTTGTGTTCCGAAGATGAATGAAGGTCTTACTTGTTTGGAACGACATGAGGGTGAGTAATTAATGACAGAATTTTCATTTTTAGGTGAACTATCCCTTTAATAAGCGTGCGATTAGTCGACTAATGCTTAAAATGAACGACTACTAGTCGACCAGAAAAGGCAGCCCTACTGAAAACAGATGCCAGATCATACATACTCTGAACATCTGTTCCTTCTTCTTCACGTTCAGATCCCTCTTTCCGATCCTCGCACAGGGACTCAGAGCTGCATGCCGTTTTTCCGCTCTGCTCCAAGCTGTACGGTTCCACTCGGTCACCGGGAGCAGCTGAACGCTATAACGGCATTCGTGGACGCCAGCATGGTGTACGGTAGCTCAGATGGGCTCAGCGGGGCCCTCAGAAACCTCTCGTCCCCTCTCGGCCTGCTCGCCGTCAACCAGTTCCACTCAGACCAAGGGCTCGGCTTCATGCCCTTCCTGACACGCACGCAGATGAACCTGGACCCCTGCGGCCCACGAGAGCGGATCGACCACATCCCGCTATCAGAGACAGATCAAAGACTCAACATATCCATGGGGAACAGATCGTTCTGTTTCCAAGCAGGTTGTAGGCATTTTTCTGAGTATTTTTCAGATATCATTCATTGTGAGTTAACATGTAACAGCATTCGCAACACATTTTGCTTCCATAATCACGTAAAATGGGACAAACAAGAGAAAAATATAGGCCGTCATCTGATGCAGCATAAACTCTAGTACATGTAGTAAACAATGTAAAATTCTTAATATAATCAGCCTGCAATGATAGTATTACTAGCCATTTTAATTGATTTAAGTTCATGCTGTTGATTTTCCTCCCTTAATTTAAATTAAATTCAGTGTGCTTTATTAGCCTGACAAAAGCAATGGCATTCTTATTGATAAAGCGTTTGCATACAATGACAAATGGTACATACTACATACAATGAGAAATGGTGCAAAATATAAAAATAAAAGTAAAACAACATTTCAAATTAAGTAAATATCATGTATAAATATTATTAAATTAATAAATAAAATATTAAATAATAAAATAATTACAAAATAATTTTAAAAATTAAATAATATTAAATAATGAAATTAGTCATAGAGCAACAATACATTTTAATTTTAAGTGTAGGTATATAAGTATAATGTTCTCTATTTATGTGAAGCACCACTGTAGTCATAAATAATAGACTCAAAGGGATGAATAAAGCTTTAAACTTAAAAAAAAAAAAAACCCGCTATGACAAGTGGTGCAAAATTAAACTAAAAACAATATTTCAAATTAAGTAAATATTTATTAAAAATTTAATCATATTGATTAATTCAATTAACTGTAGAGCAACAATACATTTTATTTCATTTTATTTGCAATATAGTGTTAATATTGCTGAATTGCTCAATTTTTATTTCATGTTGACTTTAAGGGTATTAAAGCTAAAACACCCTATGAAAAAAAGGAAAATAAGTCACAATTTGTGTCATTTTATTAAAAAATGTCCCAGTTAGGCCTTCACTCTGATGCGTTCTGATTTAAACTGGCCAGTTGATGATGAGCTGTTTTTGTGTGCGTGTCTCAGGTGACTCTCGGGCCAATGAGCACTTGGGTATGATCGCTTTGCACACGCTCTTTCTGAGAGAACACAACCGATTGGCTGAGGAGCTTCACAAGCTCAACCCACACTGGAGCCCGGACACGCTGTACCAGGAGGCCAGAAAAATACTGGGTGCAGTCCACCAGGTGAGAAGATAAAACCTGAAAAAAATTAATAAAAGGTTACTTAATTTATGCATGTCTCTGACTTGCTGAATCTTGTTTGGAAGGTCTTGACATGGGATCACTACTTGCCCCGCGTCCTGGGCCGCAGTGCTAACCTGGCCCTCATGCCCCCGTACAAAGGTTATGACCCCGCAGCTGATCCCAGCATCTCCAACATTTTCTCCACCGCTGCCTTTCGATTTGCACACGTAACCGTGCATCCGGTTGTGAACCGCCTCGGACCTGATTACCAGTTGAGCCCTGAGCACCCGGCTCTGCCGTTACACCACTCTTTGTTTGCATCCTGGAGAGTCGTGCAAGAGGGTTTGTTTCACACACACACACACACACACACACACACGCGCACACACACACACACACACACACACACACACTTAAGGCAAAACACATGTGAATAGAGTAAGAAATAGCTAATAAATATCATCAAGCTTCCCTGGTTGATTAATCACCGTACTTTAAGACAGCTGTTTTGTACTACAAGTTCTCTGAAATGTTTAAATATGCAAATGAACCATTGTCTAATTAAATATGCACTAATTTGCATACATTTCCAGAACATAAATCTCAATGATAAATAAAGCCAGGATCAATTCTTGTTTCATTTTGTTGGCATATTAGAGTTGACATAAGGTTTTTACAGATCGGATTTTGGATTTCTCTTTTTATCATTTAGAAAATACTGTCAATGGCAAAAAAATCATTTAAAAAATAAATAAATAAAACTTAGGAATAAAATGTTAAATGTATAAGTTTGGTGAATGATATATGAACAAACCCCTCTGTAAAAACCTCCAGAATATAGATGGAAGTAAATGTTTGGTGCAAGGGCATAGAATTTAGTAGGGATGCTCAGGATGTGTTCCTACCTATTTCCAGCCACAACTAAATTGTCCCTAGCAATAATTTTGATCAAACAATTAAATATGTATGTAGACTAGAAAACCACACGCTTTCAAGGATGCGCATTTAATACATTGGCGGAGTAGGAACATATAAGCTAGATCAACTTTGAATAAAGAAAAGAGATTTAGAGCCATATTTTTGTTTATGTATGTTTATGTTTATGACATGTATGTGAAATTTAGCTAGCAGGAAACACAAATTAATTCAGTTATATTTTCCTATATTCTCTTTTGAGTAGTCAAACAATCCAAAGAAAACATCTTTAAAACAAAAAGAAAAGTCACTTACAAAATGAGATTAGATGAACAAAAATCTGACCAAAATTTCTCTGTGTGGGCACATTGGCAAAACAAGTGAATGAATCTTCCTCAGAAGAGTGACTTATATTAGGCTATAATCATGTCCATAAGCTTTTTGTGAAATTTGGAGTAACTCATTCATCTGTTGCTTGACCTCTTCATGTTTAAGGAGAGAACTATAGTTTCCAAAGTCAGACATCGCTTGTTATGATTTTCAAAGGCGATTTTTCTAGCGACTACTAGATTGTCCCTAGCAATAGTTTTGATCAAACAATTAAATGTCTGTTGTCTGCCATTATGTCCCCACCACCAATGCCAAAATCAAACCCACACCCTTAAAATAAACTAATTTTGAGAAAACAGCCTTTAAAGATATATATTATAATTTTACAGAACCAAATACATAAAGTGCAATAAAATAAACACATTTGTATTTCGGATATTTTATTTCCACTAATCTGAAAGAAGACATGTTATGTAGGCAAAAAGCCCAAAATCTCAAAACTAACCAGTGCATGAAAACAGTGTTTTTGTTTTTTTTCCTGTAGTGTCTTGCCTTAATATTATACTCAATATACTGTATGTATATATGTATAATAGGGCTGTAAGTTTAACACATTAACTTAATTAGTTATGAAATAATAACGCGATTAAAATATTTTAACGCAGTTAACGCACTGGCTCCGCCCCCAGACCTGTACTTCATCTTGCATTTCGTACAGTTGACTGCTGACAAATATGATGCAGGGCAACAACTACATAAATACAGTTATGCCCTAAAAATGTAAGATATTGGTGCAAAAAAATGCCCCTGTATGAGTTTTTTTCTCATATATAATACGTTAACACACAAGCAGGGAGAGCAATATCACATGAGTGCTGATTTTATCCCAAATATCACGAGTTTAAATGTGATTTTTAACAGTTCAGTAAATAAGAAGTTGATATTGTGTTATATTTTAAAGCTTAACACCTTTAAAGCCACAGCAGAATTGTGGCCTGTCTCTGAGCAACACAGCGGTGTTTAGTTTCTGAATGAATCCACGTTTTGAACGTATCGTGTGAATCAATGATTCAAAGACCCATTGAATCGAGATGGTCCTCACTGCAGAGACCTTACATATACCTAACCCTATCCGTCTCCGGCCCCTGATCACTAAACCCACCCATCTCCACCCCCTAGATCTGGATCCAACCACGCCCCCTGGATCTTGTGTTCTGCAGTTAGGGGCTACTGATTGAATCATCCATTTGAATGAATCGAATGAATGAGTGACTCATAAAGACATTTACCGCCACCTGCTGGCAGATTTAGTTTCTTATTTAGAGAATAATAATTATATTTATTATTTATTAAAAATAATAATAATAAAAATAAAAACTTTAAAGGGATAGTTCACCCAAAATATTCAAATTCTCTCATCATTTACTCACCCTCATGTCGTTTCAAACCTTTCTTTTGTGGAACATAAAAGAAGGTATTTTGAAGACTGTTGGTAACAAAGCTGTTTTGGTTACCAGTGACTTTCATTGTGTGAACCAAAAATTACTGAAGTGTTTCTCAAATCATCTTCTTTTATGTTCTATAGTTTATGTTAGGCCGTTGTAGCCTAATGTTTATGTGTAATACATTTTATGTTGAATCAAATAAAATATTTCTTTCTAAAGCTACAATTTGTAATGTCAACTTGATACTTTCTCATTTAACACAAAAATAGCTTTAAATAGTCTGTTGTGGGTATTTTCACAGATTAGATTAGATTAATTAATCGACACACATCATGTCATTAATTAGATTAAAAGTTTTAATCGACAGACAGCCCTAATATATAATGTTTACTCAACAGCATGACGTTATGATGCATAATGAATGTTCTTGTGTGCAGGTGGCATTGATCCTGTGCTGCGTGGTTTGCTGTTGTCCCCGGCTAAACTGCAGACAGCAGATCAGATGATGGTGGAGGAACTGACCGAGAGGCTCTTCCAGGCTCAGGGAGGGCTGCCGCTCGACCTGGCGGCGTTAAACCTGCAGAGGGGACGAGATCATGGCCTACAAGGTGCCAGTTAGCAGCCTGTCATTAGCTAAGCATAGTGAGCTGCTTCGCTGTCTACTGCCTACATAAGCAACTGCCTTCTAAGGGAGCATCCTAACTGAAATGGAACCTCATAAGTGAGGGATTTGAAATACTGAAGCGCACAAGAGACTCGACTAATGGTTGCAGTTGATTCTGATATGCTGGTAACATAATGACGGAACACTCTACTAAGCATAATGTTGTTTTTCTTTTTTTAAATGGGCTGCTACATTTGTTTGAGCAACTTTTTTGCGCAACAGAAATCAAGTTTTCTCAGCTAGAAGCACATGTATTCACATGCTTGCGTTGAGTATTTTTCAGGTCTGTTTAAATGCAAAATATTGAATACATGAAATATAGGATAAAATGGTATTTTTTTTAAATCAGTATGTGAATAAAAACACTACAAAATAGCACTACCCGCAAGATTTAGCTTAACTAATTCCAGTAGATTTGGGAAAATACAATAATCTTAACTATACAGAAATATTTGCTAAAATAGTCAATTTTAATTAGATTTAACTTTTTGTTTCAATATTGATTTAAATACATTTATTGTACATTTATTGGATTAAATACGTTTTATTATATTTATAAAAAAAAAATGTAATTTATATGTTTATTAATGCAGCTCACTTAGTTATTTTAAAGTTTTTTTTTCTTTATAGGTAACGATACAGTTACAACTTATTATAACTCCTGACATGTTTACAATAGAAAAAAAGTATATAGTAATAGAAAAAGTGTACAAATTACAACTGACATAAAAATGACATAATATAAATATGCAGATATTTATTTATTTACTTACTTCTGGTCTTATTTCAAACTTGTAAGCTATTTTTTTATTATTATTTTTTATGTTTATGAAGGCAGCTCACTAATTTTTTTGTTTTATAAAAACATACAGTGTTTCATATTTGTGCTTCATTAGGAAAGATTCAATTGCAACTTATTAAAGCTCCTGTCATGTTTACACTTAGAAAAATATAAAAATGTGCAAAAAAATAAATACAATAACTTAAATGACTTAAGAAGATAAATATGCACATTATTAATTAAATTATTTATTTATTTATTTGCTTGCTTGCTTACTTTGGTCTTATAAAAAAAAAAAATAATAATAATAATAATAATTAAGTTTCCTGACATTATCTGTCTCCTTATTTAGAACGATTTACTAATTGTTTGCTAATTGTATTTCCTAATATTGTACTAATTTTTCTTACACTAAATCTTAACTTAACCTGAAGATGTCACACTAGTAATATGTCACTATATTACAATATATTTTTTTAATTTAAAAGCATGAATTTTATTTGTTGTCTACACTATAATTTAAACTATTTAATAACAGTTTTCTAATTTACTTTGTACTAATTTCACTAACTTAATAGCTTAATCAGAGTATGTTGTGCTAGACTTTTATTTTGCCCTGTGTTATTTCACTCTCTGCAGGTTACAGTGCGTGGCGGGAGCTCTGCGGTCTCTCCGCACCTGTGAATGAGTTTGATTTAGCAGGCATTCTGGGTAATGGAGTTCTGGCCAGGAAGCTGCTGCATCTCTATGGAACAGCTAAGAACATAGACGTGTGGGTCGGGGCCATTTCAGAGCCGGCTCTGCCTGGGGGCCGCGTGAGGCCCCTGCTGGCCTGCTTGATTGCCAAACAGTTCAAAGCACTCCAAGACGGGGACAGGTAATGTGATATTCCACTTCCTCTGAGTATTATTTAGTTTGAGACAAATACTGTAGGGTCAATGTTGAGTTGTCAGTCGGTACACAATTAAATGCGGTTTAGGTTCTGGTGGCAGAATGAAGGTGTGTTCAGCTCCGCTCAGAGAGACGCGCTGCGCACCACATCTCTGTCCTGCATCATCTGTGACAACACACACATCCGGCTGGTGCCCTTTGACCCCTTCGCGCACACACTCCACCCCGACGACCTGCTGCCCTGTGCACGCATCGGCCACATGAACCTCTCAGCGTGGAGAGAACCTGACACCGCTGGTATTAGCGACCGAAAGAATGTAAACAATCAAATGATCCTTTTATCTGACATGTGTTATTCATATTCTGCCAATATTTGGGTCTCATTTTCAGACCCGGTCTGTGGCGCGGTCCTGCGGTTGAGTCTGGGTTTCTCTGTTCTGTGTGAATCTGCAGTGATGTATCAGTGTCCTGCTGGATACCTGCTTCAGGGTGCCACACAAATCACCTGTGACCCCAACACCCAGCAGTGGACCCCACAAACGCCCACATGCCAAGGTTCAGTTCAATTAAATATTGAATTAATTAATTTAACTTAATGTTACATTAAACATTACATAGTAAATGTAAAATAACATTAAATATTAAATTAAATAGTAAATATTAATTATACAGTATTATGCAGTTAATATTAAATCAAATTAAATATTCAAAACAAATTAAATGTAAGTATTTTTCAAAGTAAATTTGAAAATTGACTGATCCATCTGACACCAAATTTATTAAAACAATGTTTGTTTGTTTTTGGTTATTTCAGTATTTTATTGGTTGTTTTGAAACATTCATGTACATTTTTTAAGTTAAATTAAATGAAATTAAATATTTAGTTTGATTAAATATTACATTAAACACCAAATATTACATTAAAAGTTGCATGTAAAATAATATAATAATAAATATGAAATTAAATAGTAAATATTAATCAAACAATATTAAACAATTAATATTCAAATCAAACTAAATTAAATATTAGTGCTGTCAAACGATTAATCGCGATTAGTCGCATCCAAAATAAAAGTTTTTGTTTACATAATATATGTGTGTGTACTGTGTATATTTATTATGTATATATAAATACAAACACATACAGTATATATTTAAGAAACATGTTATGTTTATATATTAAATATATTTATATATAATATAAAATATAAGAATATAAATGTATAAATGTAAATATTTTCAAAATATATACTGTATGTGTGTGTATTTATATATACATAATAAATATACACAGTACACATACATATAATATTTAAACAACAACCTTTATTTTGGATGCGACTAATCGCGATTAATCGTTTGACAGCACTAATATATATTAAACTTGACTGATCCACCTGACACCCAATGTATTAAAACATTGAACATTTGGACATTCATGTACATTTTTAAACGAAACTAAACTAAACTAAATATTAAATATCAAATACTACATTAAAAATTAAAAGATTAAGTATTAAATTTACTAGTAAATATTAATAATAAAATGTTAAACGATTGATATTAAATATTAAATAAATTTAACTATTTAATAGTAAATAAATATTAAATATAAATATTAAAAATAAAGTATAGAACTACGCTTTTATTGGTTATTTTAAATATTGATGAATGTTCCACTCATTTCTTTTGGAAATTTGGACATTAATGGACACTCTTTAAATTAAATTAAATTAAAATGACATATAAATAACTTATTAAATATGAAATTAAATGGTAAATATTAATGATAAAATAATAAACAATTAATATGAACTATTAAATAAAATTAATATTTATTTAATATAAATATAAATTAATTTAGAAATTGACATCCATCTGACACACAATTTATTGTTTTTTTTTCTTTGGATAATTTCAGATATTGATGAATGTTCCGCTCATCCGTCCGTCTGCCCTCCACACCTGCAGTGCTTGAACACACCTGGAGGTCACACCTGCACCGGTGAGCAGCCTCTGCCACACCCGTAACCAGCAGTTTCCTCAATCCATGCCATATTAATCACATAAATGAGCTATTATTTGTTGCATATGCAGAACCTGCAGCTCCGCCCCTTTCCTCCATTGTTGCATCAGTGATGTCAGTCCTAGGGGGCGTGGCTTTGATAGTGCTCTTCCTCGCCTGCTACCAAAGGTGTGTTAAAAAAAATCTCCACTTCAAGCTGTTGTTTATCTGAGGAAATGTATAAAACTTATACTTTGAATGTTATTTCTTGCAGATGTATCCTTCGGAAAGCCGAGCCGGTGAAGGCAGAATGCTGTCAGAGAAGAAGCTGAAATGGAGTCGAGGGGAAACTGGTTTGGAAAATGTGCAGATTTGGCCCCAGTTGGTCTGTGTTCACATGTTCAATATTCCAGTTTCATAACCACAGTCTGATTTCACAACCTGAAACACCGTTTGAATGAAACGTGTGTGAACATGAATGGAAGCATTTTTAGCATTTCTCCCAGTGTTCTCGCCCTTTTTCTGTGCTAAATCTGCCGTCGGCTCACAGCATCGGCCCTCCCTCATGTGACGTCACGTCAGCTGATGTACAAAAACCCTTGCTTTAATGCATACTTTTTAGCCTTGTTGTTAATAGGTCAGTAAGATTTTTTTTTTAAGAAATTAATACTTTCCTTCAGCAAGTACACATTGATCGAAAGTGACAGTAAAGACATTTATAATATTACAAAAGATTTCTATTTTAAATAAATGCTGTTCTTTTGAACTTTCTGTTCGTCAAAGAATCATGAAACAAAAATGTTGAAGCAGCACAACTGTTTTCAACATTGATAATAATCAGAATTTTTTCTTGAGCAGCAAATCAGCATATTAGAATGATTTCTGAAGATCATGTGACACTGAAGACTGGAGTAATGATGCTGAAAATTCAGCTTTGCATCACAGGAATAAATTACATTTTACAATATATTCAAATAACAAACAGTTATTTTAAATCAAAATATTTAACAATTTTACAGTTTTTAACTGCATTTGTCATCAAATAAATGCAGCCTTGATGAGCAGAACAAAAAATCTTACCAACCCCAAAATTTTGAACGGTAGTGTAAATCTTTGTAGCAGAATATTAATATTTGTTCATAGACATCTAATTAGTTATTTTTTTATGTTTTGACTCTTCTGTTTTGCTGCTGTAAATTAGGTGCAACATGTTCCTATATATGATGAATTTAATCTCAGCCAATAGAATCCAAGATTGTGCTGTGACATCATGCATATATGTATTATACATTTAAATAAGCTTTGACATTGACATATTGTTAAATAATTATGATTTTAAGGATCATAAATGCACTACTGAAACGATCCTGAAGTGTCAGACCATATGAGTGTCTTTACAGGATTTTCTCATCAAATCATATATATATATATATATATATATATTCCACTTGTATGGAAATATATAACTGACCAGTATGTGTTTTTACACATTCATACATAAATTATGATGAATAAAGCACACGTTCTTACATGATGCTATATAGTTATTTTTGGAAAAAAGTATTAATTAATCACAAGACAAAACTGAGTCACACATTTATATTCTGCAGAAGCTTTTAATGGAGTTTTAAACATGATGAGGCAGTTTAACTAAAGCAACAGACCTGAGGGTAGACGCCATATTTAATGTGTCACGAATGAAAACAAGGCTGACAAAACCTTCACAATATATTTCCAAAACATTTCCAGTTAAAAAAACAACAAAACTACTGAAAGCATGTTTTCACACATATCAAATTAAATATGATGACAGTCCACCACAAGCGAGTTCTACACTGTAAACACTGTATTCGTGCCGTAAGACAGCGATTGTCAATCATGCAACAGTTATAATCTATAATACGGAGTGCGAGTACTATAACTTGTGTACGATGGTTAAGCATCCATAACTTAAGTGCTGCTGCGTGCAGGAGCGTCAGTAACGGAGACTCACACGGCACTTTTCTTGACACTTGCATAGAAAAGATCTCTGGAGGATTGTCCATTCAAAGCTGTAAACCAGGGTCATGCTGGGACACAAAGCGCCTTAGTGTACAGTACAGTACAGTATGTACAGGTGTACAGTATATGCATTGCACAAGATGGTGCAGTACCTTCAGATGAAGTTCTAGCTCTGCTTTAGAACTCCAGAACTGATTCTATTGTTGGAATTACTATAATTATGAGTTTCCAACTAGTATAAGCATTCAGTCTTCGTCAAACAGATAAAGAATTGTTGTTAAAATATTTGAAGAACATACAGGACGTTGGAATATCAACCTTTTTATGTTCCGACTAGAGCGAAAACAACATAAGACTTCTTCAAATACAAGCCAATTATTTTACTATCTTTCTAGAATTAAAAAAAAAAAACGTCTGTCGAACACTAGACAAGCTGAAAACATTAGAGGGTTCAAGCTATGAACTCTGCCGTCGTCATGTGTTTAACGGATTACTCTGAATTTCTTTGCAAATGGCAAGTTAAATGTCGGTTTGGAAGCATATTTCTGCCACAGAATTAAAAAATAAAAATTGTGTTTATATCTCACAATTCAAACGTTTTTCTTGCAATTCTGAGAAGCAAAGTCAAAATTGTGGGATATAAACTCGAAAACTGCAAGACAAAATTGAGAAGTGTGAGATAAAAAGTCAGTTACCTTTTTCTATTTTTTTAATTGTGTGGCAAAAACGGAAAAATAGAATTCTGAGAGGAATTCAGAATTGTGAGATGTAAATTGGAATTCCCAAAAAAACCCTGAATTGCGAGATGTAAATTCAGAATTCTGAGGGGGAAGAAGTCTGAACTGTGAGATGTCAACTCAAAAAGTCAGAAGTGAGAGAGAAACTTTTTAAAAAGTCAAACGAGTCTCCACATGTCGGAGACTTTTTACCGGTAAATGGGAAAAACGTCCTGTTGTTGACTTCTTGAAACAAGAACGTCTTGTAAACATTTACCTCAGTGTTAACAATGTGGCACATTTACTGCATTCAGTCTTTCCCAAAGCAAGAACAACACAAAGCCTGTGGAGAGTGAAACTGTACAGCTGTTATCCGTGGGCTCGGGGAGTGCTAGTGTTCTGGGAATTCTTCTGTAGTGCTTCCCTGAATACATACATGAATATGGAGCTAGAAAACACCAGCATGGGAGTGTTTGAGTGAAAGTTGAGATGACCGTGCTGTATTTGTATTTGTGTGCTGGTTCTCTAGCGCTCCTCCGTCAGAAAGTATCCCAGTTTGGCCACACTCATCTCTCTCCGCAGACGCATCACTTCCCAAAACATCTGCTGGACTATGGAAAATGACAATGATCCACAGGAAAATGACAATTATTTTCTTCTGACATACTGTATTGCAATCAAATTAAAACTTTCAAATATAAATTAAAAATAAAAATAATAATACATACATACATACATATCCTAATGATTTTTGGCATAAAAGAAAAATCGTATACAATGTATTGTTGGCTATTGCTACAAATATACCCGTGCTACTTATGACTGGCTTTGTGCTCCAGGGTCACATATACGAGTAATAAAAATATTAACTTATTCAAAATAATTTAAAAATATAATATTTGAATATATATTACATATGTAATATATATATATAGAAAATAGATTGTTTTTATTCTTATATATTTAATTGTGAATAAAATACACATAAAATATACATATATACATTAATTAATATAAATAAATACATCATATTTCAAGTAATCAATATATATTTTTCTTTCACTTGCAATTTTATATGAAATTTTAATATATATCAAATATAATTCTATTAATAAATTAGTTGGTTTCAGATTTTTTTTCATGATTTTCTAATCCTAGATATTGATTTTGTGAACAACAACTAGTCCTAAACAATCATCCATAAATAGTCAAATTGAATTCTAGGAGACTAGTATACAGTTGATCAACTCACCGTCCTGTCTGACGAGGCCCTGCTGGATGTACCTGATGTAAGTGAAGAAATTACACACGGCTGTGATCTGTGAGGAGAGAACGCGCTTTATTAACCCGGTCCTGAAATAAGCATCTGAGAACTGCTTATTAAAAGTGCTTATGAAGAATGAGAGAGTATAGACACGTACTCGTGCTCTGCTAGACGGAGATATATAGTAGTAATTCTCTTTATCTCCCAGTTTGATTCGATGTCGACAGGGGCGGGACATGCCGCTCAGCGCACATTTACTGTTCAAGCAAAAGAGAACACTGGTCAATAGAGCTGTCAATCAAATTACTAAACACTCGTAACAGCCAATAAGATACAAGCCCAGCAACAACATGCCCAGCAAGAAACAAACACAGAAAACCTGTTCTTCAGTTGTGTGAAACTAATTACTTTCAACATAAACGTTTCTAACACTGAAACCTGAAGACACACAATTATAAATTAAATATATAATAAATAAATAAATAAATATTATATAAATTATACAAAGTGAGATGCACGTTGCAAGACAAGGGGTTTTCGCAAAAAATAAAAGTAAATAATTGAATTATGTGTTAAAAAATCAATTATAAAAATATATTTAAAATAGTGCTGTCAAACGATTAATCGCGATTAATCAAAATAAAAGTTTTTATTTACATAATATATGTGTTTCTTCTGTGTTTATTATGAATATATAAATATACACACATGCATGTATATATTTAAGAAAAATATGTTACGTTTATATATTAAAAATATTTGTTTGATAAATTATATGAATATAAATATATACATGTAAATATTTTCAAAATATATGCTGTATGTGTGAGTATTTATATATACATAATAAATATACAAAGTATACACACACATATTATGTACACAAAAACTTTTATTTTGGATGCGATTAATCGCGATTAAACATTTGACAGCACTATTAAATAAAAATAATAATTCTCCGAACAGAAAAGAATACGATGTGTTAGTGTAAACAGGATTTCATGCACATTTGGTTCTTGCATTGACTTACGTTTCTATGGGTGTCCGGCAACCGCTGTGAAAACAACCCCAAATCAAACAGTGATTAAAGTGTGATTAAAGTGCGACTTCCCAGATCAAAGTGCAATCGGTCTGATTCATGTGTATTTGTTGCCCCCAAAGCAGGCAGAATTAAAGAGGGTCCCACACGCTTCATGCCGAATGAAAGGCGTTTAACTTTGATCTGGACTTATCAAAAGCGGAAGCCAGGTGAAGCACTCTAAGAGCTGTTGGTGTGGCTGCTATGATGGTATTAAATCAAATTAAATTATTGAATTTTATATATATATATATATATTGTGTGTGTGTGTGTGTATATATATATATATATACACACACACACACACATACAGTATATATATAAAATCATGTATTTTATTTTATATTTTATATATTTTTAAGGAACAAATAAACAAACATTAATACTTAATTAATTCCTCCAGAAAGAAAAGAACTGGCAAAATATCTGTTCCATTACACCAGATGTTTTCTTTTTTTCTTAGGTAGCTAGTTAGACTGTTTAGTTAACTTTAACTAACTTGTTAAAAATGCAAAGTGCATCATGATTTGCATTCTGTCAAATTTGAAAAGAAATGCAACAGTGCTCACATAACTTCATTATTTGCTTTCACATCATTTTTTTTATTTTTCTGCTTGAGTTTTTAATTGGATTTGTCATTATATAAATAAAAGATACGTAATGCACATTATCTGTAGAAGTAAATCAGCATTTTATGAGTAAAAAGAGAAAAAAAAAATAGATTCTGACACATGCATGATTCTTCATGATTCCTTGAATTCGTCTGATTGGCCAAAAGCGTGAAAGAAAGTGACTGATGTGTTTTGTTTATATAGATTTATCCATCCATGACTCACTTGGGTCCTCCACATTCGAGGGCTTTGACCGTGTGCAGAGACGACATGGCGACGGGCTCGATGGTGAGAGAGTTATTCTCCACTGCGCACTGGACCGACTGAGACAACTAGAGGAAAAGCACAAGAGAACGTCAGCGAGAGAAAACAGACGATTAGAGGAAGACATGTGTGCTCACACACCTCAGAGCAGGTGAATGAAAGACATGGCCCGATATCTTCTCTGTACACCCTGCTGATGAACGCTGAGGAGCGATCCAGACTGGGTGCCTCCTTCCACGAGAGGAACTCTGCGAACAGCACAGAGTCCAACTAGATAAAAGAGAGAGAGAGTTTAGCTTATCCTGCTTAAAGGGATAGTTCACCCAAAAATGAAAATTACCCCATGATTTACTCACCCTCAAGGTGTATATGACTTTCTTCTTTCCGACCAATACAATCGGAGTTATATTTAAAAACATCCTGGCCCTTCCAAGCTTTATAATGGCAGTGAATGGGTGTTATTTTTCAACAGTCCAAAAGAAGTCCAATGAAGCGCATCCATCCATAATAAAATGTGCCTCACACAGCTCCGGGGGGTGAATAAAGGCCTCACGGAATCGATGTGTTTTTGTAAGAAAAATTTCCATATTTAAAACGTTATAAACACTTTTCTCTCACTTCTGCTAACTGTCGTAGGTGGAAGCCGTTCCAGGCGGATGACGTAGGATGTATGCGTAGCGTAAGCGGCAGTGATTAGTGACGAATGCGGAAGCGCAGAGGAGCGAGCAAAACAAAACGCCGGTCACGAATTAGAAGTACAAAACGAGGATTCGTAAAGAAAAATGTTGGAGGATTTCTGTAAACAAACGTTGGTTCTCGTGAGACCAGCATATCTCACTGGAGCTATGCTACGCCTACATCATCCGCCAGAATGGCGTTCTATTGTGAACGTGCGAACGACAGTTAGCGGAAGCTACAGATTACTGTTTATAAAATTTTAAATATGGATATTTTTCTTACAAAAACGCATCAATTTGCTACAGGAGGCCTTTATTCACCCCCCGGAGCCGTGTGAGGCACATTTTATTATGGATGGATGCGCTTCATTGGACTTCTTTTGGACTGTTGAAAAATAACACCCATTCACTGCCATTATAAAGCTTGGACGAGCCAGGACATTTTTTTATATAACTCCGATTGGATTCGTCTGAAAGAAGAAAGTCATATACACCTAGGATGGCTTGAGGGTGAGTAAATTATGGGGTAATTTTCATTTTTGGGTGAACTATCCCTTTAACCACTCAATTAATTAATGGTACTTTCAGAAGTCATTTCTTTTTCTTAAATGTGTTGATTGCTATTTTGTTTTGTTTCCCAGCGGAAAAAAGGTAAAACTAGCCAAGGTGGTTTGCTGGTGTAACCTGGGCACCACACTGGTGTTATTTTAGTAGTATTTATATATTTCTATATAGTATTTATTCATGTTTTTAATTAGCCTTTTTTTTTTTTTTTACATTTTCTTTCTTTTTAGTATTTATTAATATACATTATTAATATATTAATATATTTTTAGTAATTATTATTATATGTAAAACTTTTTCATTATTTGTACTATTCATTCATATATTTAATTATAATGAAATATGTAAATATAAATAATTATTATATAAAATATTAATATCTTTAGTATTTATTAACATATCTAAAACTATTTGATTCTTTTTAGTATTTAGTAATTTTTTTGTTAGTTTTTATTTTTATATTTTCATTATTTAGATATTAATATATTTTATTAACAATATTATTTTAATATGTATTGTATTATTATCTCTAAAAATATATCTAATATATCTAATATAATTTATTATTATAATAATATAATATATAATTGTTTTAGTATTTATTAATGTTTTGAATGAGCTTTTTTATATTTTCATTATTTTTTTGTATATATTCATATATTTTTATTAATATCATTGATTTATTAACATGTTTAGTATTTATAAATATTTCATTATTTTAGTGTTTTATTAATATTTTGAATTAGCATTTTTTTATTTTCAGATTTCATTTTCATTTTTTTCCTGTGTGCTTTTCGTAATTTTTATTAGTTTTTTAATATGTGAAGCTGTAATTTATTTTAATTTTAGTTTTAGTAATTTCAGTACTTCGATAAACTTCAATAAAACTTACTTCAGTTAGTTGCCAAGACAGCATTTCTCATTTTCATTTCAGTTATTAATTTCATCTAATATTTTATTTTATTTCAGATTTATTTCAATTAACAAAAACTATTTTTATTACTTTTAGTTAGCGATAACAACACCGCGCTGATCAGACTGGTCTAGGATGATTTTACAGGAGTTCTGGGCGGGTGTCAGTTGATCAGACCAGCTAAACCACCTTAAACCAGGAAAGACCAGCAAACCACCTTAGGCTGGATTAAGCTGTTTTTTTTTTTTTTCAAAGCAAGAAAGCAAAATAAATTAAGTTCTATTTCGGAACCCTTTGTACCCTGTTGCCATGGAGACCTGCCAGGGTTGAGACACAGGTCACACAGAGCAGCTGACCAGGAATCAGACACACAGTATCAGAGAGAGGAGAAGAGGAACTGCACAGATCAGAGAAATACAGACCCATGAGGAAGTGCGGAGGAGGAGGAAAACAGAGGAAGAACAGCAGGAAGTCAGTGATCAAACCCTCATCATGCAGCTACAGACTAAAACTAGTCCCTAGAAGCCCGTGGTCTTTTCCAGGAGTGTGTTTGCACCTCTTTGTCCTCCCAGTTTGACGCTACATCCGTCGGCGTGGGCTCCGTTTGCAGCTGTAGAGCACCGCTGGCGCTCTTGTTGCGCGTGTGGCCCCCGGGACGAGACGAGGCCCGACTGGAGCCCGGCAACAGCAGCTGAGGATGGAGCTGGCGGTTCGGGGAGGAGGGCGTAGAGGTCAACACCAGGGTTTTCAGAGCAGAGACCTCCGCCTGTAGGACGTCAATCTGAGAAGACAGATGTATTTTGAGATTAAAGAGCCTGAAGTGAGCAGAGAGTGAGACAGAAAGAGTGAGAACGCACCTTGCCCTGGGCCTCCTTCAGTTGCTTCTCAGCCGCCGCTTGTTTCACGTTGGCCTCTCGCACCATCTTATGGGCCTCCTAGAAATGAGAGATGAACGCACACAGGTTTGTGACATGAAATACTTTTGGGAAACAGACATGTCCTGTGTCTGACATGCTTTGAAAATTATTTTGAATAGCATTTTGCTAATGTTTTTATGCATGCAGCATTTTTAGCCAATTTTACATGAATGGTGAGACTACATGGAACATTTTTTAAAAATTATAAAAAAAAATAAAAAAACAGTAATAAATAAATATGATTCATGATTGAAATATGATGATTATTATTAATAACTACAAAATTAAATTGTATTAAATTGTAAAATATGTTTTTTAATGTAATATTAATTGTAAGACTATATGAAATATTTGTAAAAAATGACAAATATAATTAGAAATTACAATTTTAATTACAATTATAAATAACAATTCATTATTAATTATATTATTATATATTATAATTATATAAATATATTAATTATAAAATATTTTTATATTTAATAATTAAATTACATTAAATTGTAGATTTTTTATAATTTAACATTAATTGTGTGGCTCCATAAATCAACAAACAAATAAATAAATATGATTTATTTTTAAATGTATATAATTATATTAATAAATTAATTATTATTATAAGTATTTTATAATTTATTACAATATTCAATAATATTAAATTGTTAATTTGTTTTACAATAAAAATTGATTTGTCACCACAACATCATTTAAAATTAGCTACTAGAGGCAAAATGATTACTAAAAAATTAAGAAACAGTGGCACAGTTTGATGACCAAAGATACAATCCCTTAAGCTAAAATGTAATATAATGTCAGTCTTCATGGCACATGTGTCAATCTACTGCCAGTGATGATGTCACATTAGTCCCGCCCACCTCAAATAGACTGGCGGTCAATTCCTCCAATTCCTGCTCCAGCTGATTCCTGACATGAGACAGTTTGACACACTCCTCGTCTTTCAACTTCAGCTCCTGAAAACACAGACGAGTCTATAAAGCATATTTGAATAGAACCGATTTGAATAGGAGAGCCTGTTAAATAAACAGCAGTCTACCCGAAAATGAAAATTTGCTGAAAAACACGCAGCTTTTCGCTTCACCAGATGTTAACTGATGGACTGGAGTGGTGTGGATTATTGTGATGTTTTTATCAGCTGTTTGGACTCTCATTCTGACGGCACCCATTCACATCCATTGGTGAGCAAGTGATGTAATGCTACATTTCTCCTAATCTGAAGAAACAATCATCAGCTATCTTGGATGGATTTTCAGCAAATTTCAACAAATCCTTTAGGGCAATACATTTGTTATATATTCAGTATGTGTTTAATTTTTAGCATTCTGTTTGTTTTACAGAACGTAGGAAAGGCTCTTCGCTACAGTTGGAAATGTCTGATGTTGGGTCTGCAGAACTTCACTGTGGGATATTCCACTCCTCTTTCTGCTGCTGCTTCAGTTGTCCCAGATTTAC